GGGAAGCCGCAGATGCGCATGCGCGGGCTGCCCCAGCCCAGGGTCCCCTTCCCGCCTGGGGCTGGGCCTGGCCCTGGGTGAGGGTCCTGCTTGAGAAACACTAAGCGAGAACCCCGGCGGTTTTTTTGGATTATGGGCAAAAACTTGTTTCTTATTCCCCAAATAAAGTTTTCACCCAAAGCTGAGATGTTTTCTTCACCCTGCGCCAGGTGCAGGAGCACTTCACTTGGTTAACTGGTGGTGGGGGCTAGCATCGAACCCTCGAATCACTTTCAATTAAGAATAAACTTATAATTAGGCTAACGGTTAACAGGCAACTAGCCAATAAACACAGGCACAAGTTAATGAGCACACCTCGTCTTTCCACGCAGCACACACAACGTCCATACCGCTATGAACTATGCGGTTTCCATTTTATGATCTTTCTATCGGCCCTGTGAGAGGCAGGCAGAGGCTGGCACACACAGTGTGCTTTAATATCAGTAAAGGACAAGGTTTGTGGCGCCTCTTTACAAATCAGTTTACCCTACAATTGCCATCATTCTTTTAAAAACATGTTAACGCTTCAGACTAGGTACATTTAATCCCATTTTGATCGGACAGCATACTGAGTTCTTGAGCAACCTTCCCAGAGCCGACCTGTAAACAAAAAAGCTGACAACCCTCTGTGATGAATCAATCTTAGAAAAAAACTGAAAATTTCACAGCTACTCAAGAAAAATCACAGGAAAGAAGATTTACTTCCCCAATTAGATGTAGATGCAACTCATTAACCAAACAGGAAACCTTTTCTGTTTCTTATCCACACTGTATGTCTCATTATTAGAACACCCCTATCCCAAGTTCTGAGGGTCAAGTTCCTCTACTGCCTGCGTGGACACAACATGAGCGTATTTCCTACAGCCCAGGACCATGTTCTAGCCTGGGTCTGATTTCTCTCAGTCTCTGCTTCAGATTAAGTTCCACATTTGATGCTCACTCGAGCAGGAGGCAGTGCCCAGGTTTCCTCCTACTTTGATGAGGGCTTTAATCAGCCAGCTACAGTTACCAAGTAATTTACATAAACCTGAACCACTTCAACAAACATGTCAACAAGAATAACCTACAGCCCTATGTCTAAGACACTTCCTCAAAGTCAGAGGCCATGTTCACATTGATTTACACAGAGACATTTGAATCAAGGCATCTTGACACCCCAGCTTCTTGATCCGAGGACTAGCATTCAAAGAGCAGCATTTTGTTTTGGTTGGAAGCACTGAAAAGGTAAGTTTCTCATTCTTCCTGGCCCAATTTGCTGAGTTCAATTGGATTTTGTTAGCAGTTTGCAGGCAGCTGCAACTCATTTTGTGCAGGTGAAGTTAAAGGGCCCATAATTTACACCACTGACGTGGAAGAGAACCCAACTGACACCTTACTAATGTAAGCTGGCTCAGTTTCTTAGAGTAAGGTATTTTGGGTCAGAGGAACTCTGTTCAGATACACCTCGTTTAGCTTCTGATCTTAAACAAAGACCAACAACATAGGTAGACACTTCAAAAAGGGTTTCTCATAGCTTTTGTATACCCCTCTCCCCCCCATACAGGGACATGGAATGTTGTCCCCACCAATGCTGGGGTTTGAGGCATTAGGTCTGAATGAGAAGCCAGCAACACAAGGCTGCTGTAACAGCTGCACACTGTTTGCTTTATGTCATGGAAGACAGGACACCAGATCCCCAGAGCTGTAGCAGGATAAAGTGATCTTTAATCTTTAACTGCTATGGCTGCCTAGTTTCATATTAAAGTATGCAGCAAATCAGTACCTGTATCTCTCCCAAAATGTTCTTTTATTTAGCTTTTCTGATGAGACTAAATCTAAACCATCTTTACTTCTACTCTTTTGGCTTTGTATTCTTATCAGCTTCTATTTCCTGCTGGCAGTTCAAAAAGATCCATCCCTCCCAGAACCAAATACAACCTTTGGAGAGGTTAAAGGCAACCATGCTAAGCCACTCCAAGTTTTTACTCTCCCCTTACTGCCATTATAAAGGCAAGTGGCTGTGTTTTTGTTAGAGATTTTGGAAGTCAGAAGATACTGCAATGTGGTATGAGCGACTGTAAGAGCAAAAAAGGACACATGCAGGTAGCTGGTCTTAAAATTCTACACTTCCTTTCAAACAGTTTAATGGCGTTATCTTTAGTAATCCTACAAACCACAAAAGACTGTCTGAAATACAGATCAAATAATATAATGACCCTCCCACCAACCTTAAACATTATACAGTTATATTCTTGTCCTTCTCAGCACACAAGGGTCATCCCAAGTGAGCAGCGGGCTTTTGAATCTGTCAAGGCTTGGGGCAAAACTACATGCAACAAAATGATGTGTTAATACTAAACTCACATTTTCTCTGTATTTTCATTTAAAGATTCGAGGTGCCTATCAAACTGTAACACCTGTTCTTATAAGCAGCTATATCTACCATTTATTTTGACTACAGATTTCACTGAGACATTTAACATACAACAGCAGGGCCCCAAACATCCCTGACAGACGAGCTGAAAAGCCCTCTGTGTAAATATTTTCCCCACTATTTGTCCGTTGAACAAACTTTAAGTTCCTGAAGTTTTTCACTTAGATAGGTAGTGTCTGCCTCCGTCAGACTTTCCGAATCTGACAGATTTTCCAGGAATCTGGTTCCTGCACAGCGCTTTCCTGTTATTGGATCTATGACATTTCCAACCTTGAAAACAATTTCAGCCAGTTCGTGTTTCACGTGTTTGGACCTTCGCTCAGGCAAAGCTTTCAGAAGAACAATGTCTCCAACAACACACTGCTGCAATGGATCGTGGGCAAAATAGGTTTTTCGTTTGTTAAAGAACTGTAGAAAGAAAAAAGGAAACCTTGGCATTAGATTTCAAAACTAAGCAATTGCATGTATATAGTTAATATAAAACAAACTAGATTTCACTAAGAAGTAAGTCTTATATATGTATTTACGGAGATTCAGTTGGGATCATGAAAGGAAACGCAACTATGCGCTCTGCTGTTTTTCTAAAGCAAGCACAGCATTACCCTTCCCTGGCAACCCCTCTGGTCAGGATGCTGTTGCCAACCAAGCCTGTAGAAAAAGTGATGGGGAAGAAAAAGCCCAGTACAAAAAGCTGTTCATAGTGGTACAGGTAAAAACAACAAGCTCCTCCCTTCACGTGGATTCCCTTTCCTACCATCACCACTTCCCACTGGCCTCTCTGCTCTCTAGCTCTGCCGTGGTGGCCCTTCCTCTCCTTAGGTGCTTCACATCAACACAGCTTCAGCAAGGCAGCTGCCTCAGCTCTTCCAAGCTAAGCGACTTTCCTGTGCAGCCCACACTGCAGGGACTGCTATTAAGTCTTACCCACCCCAACATGGCTAAAGTTCATCAGCCCCAAAATCAGTATATTGAAGTTTGTCATTTGAGAGTTTTCTTTCTCAATTTTCTCTCATCTAAAAATTCAGTATTTAATCTTATTGGAATGTCAGAATTCAGGATCTTTCTTTTAAGAAAGAAATTAACAGGTGGTTCTACTGGAAAAAGTACTGGATTGGGATCTGCACAACCAATTATCTAATCCTGACTCTGTCCTTAACCTTCTGGTCACCAAAGGCAAGTTATTCCACTTACATGTACCACAGTTACCCCATCTAAAACCAGAGAAAATACTAATTTTAACCTCCCTGTAAGAAGTGATAAATACAAGGCTCGTATAGCACATCACGGTACAGATTCAAATACTGAGTATGTTTACAGTTACGCATACAGAAAAAATTATGAGTGACTAATATAATATCAAGTTTCCAAAACAAAGCATGCTCCAAATCAATGAGAAATTAAATGTAAGCATGAAACAACAAAAACTTACCTTCTCAACAGAGAGCAAATGAAACGCATGAGCAAAGCACTTCAAAGAAGCACATTTAGCAGGTAATTTGTAGGGAAGTGTTCTCACAACACACTGCCTTTTCAAGCTTTACAGTCAGCCCCACAGCCAAATCATGATGCAAGTTCCTTAAGGAGTTTGCATTGTAAAGAGCTATCAAAACTTCTGAGAGTTAAATCAATAAAACATTCCTCCACACTGTACAAAAATTACTATGCAAGACAAGTTGTTAACCAGCTTTTACCTTTAGTAAGTAAGGATCTAGCACAAGCCTTGTCACTCTCACTTTGGCAGTTTTCTGCATTTTGGTTCCTATTACTCTCCCTACTATCCATTTTGCATGGACAGCTCCACGTGGTACAGACATTGTTTAGGTATGGTCATCCAGTGCCTGGCAACAAGCAAGCAGACATGTTATTTTAATAAAAACAACATAACCAGTTTTGATCAATACCAAAATTATGATTTTCATTTCAGTCTAAGCTTAATTAGGTCATTTTATTGGAAAAAACAGGACAGATACAAGCAGTTCAAAACTCCACTGCACTACTTCAGCCTTGTTTTACAATATAAGAAGGGATACAAGCACATCCCCATGGCCAAGAAAAGTTACTTTAGGATGGCAGTAAAAATAGACATAAGTGTGAGGATGAAACCTTACCCCACAAAGTCCACAAAACTTCTTTGAATCATACCTCTTGTCACATTCACAATATAGCAGTATGCAGCTGTGGAAGTTCTTACAAATTTAACTCATACTGCAGCAGTGTTTTTGCTGGAGACCTGTTAATCAGGTCTGTATATGACCAGAGTTAACCCAAACAGGGAGCAGCCTGTAGCTTTAGTTCAGAAAGTCGATAGCTTCTGTGCATCTCATTATTAGCTGAGCTGATGAAACCTAAGAAAGGTAATAAGCTTCTCAAAGCATAAACAACACATCAAAGAGTTGTCTGACCTATAATAAGTATAATAACTTTTGAGTTAGTTCTTTCCTGTAAGTAATTATACTCCACTATCTTGTTTTGTTTCATTAGGGAGAGCTTTCTACACCTCTCTTGCAAGTCATGGGGAAAACAGACAGCTAAACACTTGAAAACTTGAACCAACATTACAACTGATGAAGACTAATGACCTGTTTCTTTCCCACCCAGCTACATAGTCTTAAGCACAACTGACACCCATTGAATTCTCCATCTGTCCATCTGTAAGATTAAATGACACTCGCTTTGATGCGGCAACACACCAAAGGAAAAGTTCAGGGATACAGACACACATCCATGGGATGAAGTGCTTCAACCAGCAATTGCTTTTACCACCTCAGCAGTGTGACCTACAGGGCTGGAGGTGGAAGCCCGTGTGAGAGGCCCCCCTGGAAAGCAGGACTAACCACCACCAGCCGCAGCCACCAGGCCGGGAAGAGGAATCAGACACCCGCGCTGGGGGCCTCACGCAGCGAAGAAGAGGATAAAAGAGGAATTTCAAACAGATCCGGAGCCTTCCGGCCCGCCCCCAGCTCTCAGCACCAGGCCCAGCCTCAGCAACCTCCCTACCCGCAGGGCC